ATAGCAGTATCTGATTTTTAGTCTAGTTTATACCTGAATCTTCTTCCAGTTCAGTACTAGAACTAGTATAGTTAATCTTATCAGATCTACTAACTAATATATAAGATCCTGTACTATATCTTTAGCTAGTTTATTAAGTTTAAGAATATCTCTCTTTATATACTATTTTCTTAGCTTTACTAGAAGAAGCAGTAATTAAGCTACTTATAAAATAAGAATTTTCAGATCTGGATAGATTATATTCTTCTTTTTATTATCTATTAGTACTATAATAGCTCTCTTATACAGTATTATCTATCTAGCTTTAATTACAGCCAGCTTAATAGCACTGCCTGTAGAATAAAATTATAATTCTAGCAAATAAATTTAGTAGTATAGTAGTAGCTTCTATTTTATTTTCTTCTGTCTAAGATACTACTGCTGGTATAGGCCAGTATTCTAGAGTCTATCTAACAGCCCAGGCAACAGCAGTTTCAGGACCTGATAATCCTGATCCAGAATAAGAATCTCAAGATCCTTACTAAGGCTATAATATAGGATAGTATAATACAGCTATTCCAGCAGCATTAGAACTACACTAGTATCAGTGTCTATCTTTTGGACCAGTTCTATCTAGATATTGGCAAGGAGACCTGTTCTGCTAGATTCTCCTAAATAGAGAATATAGAATACTTTTCTATATTAAATATAGATCTAGTACAGGAGCCTTTATATCCTGATAATTCCAGGTCTTAAACAGTGGTATGGCGGCGATATTGCCTGGAGTCCTATATAGAATAGATTAGACAGCAGCAGCTCTATAGATTACTATATTCTCAGATATAGTTCTATCTAATTAGTCTTCTCCAGAATACTGGCAGTTTAATACTTAAGACATGCCGGGCCTTGTCTTAGTAGCAGACTGGATTACTATATAGCTAGTTCTACTCTAGTATTAAGAAGGTCTTTGCCGCTGGGAATACCTATTTATTTACTAATCCTACTCTTAAGACATTAGTGCTGGATCTATAACTTTATAAGACCTGGCAGTATATTAGGGATAGACTAAGCCATAATTCTGTAGTATTAATACAGGCCTATCTTTATATAAAACAGCGGTGCCATACAGTCTTATAGAGATCCTATCTAAAGATATTTAGTCTCCAGAAGAAACACTGCGTCTCTTAGGATCTCTTCCAGGCTATTTATATTAAGATATATAGATAGAATCTCTACTGAATCTAGATCCCTAGTATCTCTGGCGCTGTAGAGCTCTTTTACTTTCTTCTGATACTAATTCTTCTGTTCTGGCTCTATTAGAATATTAACAAGTTCTGTGTAGGGTTTAAGATAGTTTATAGTCTTAATAATTACTACTTTATTATCTAGAAGTATATCTGGATAATATTGATATTTCTATGCTGTCTATAGTTCTCCTATACCAGTGGTCTTTTCCAGCAGGTATCTGGCTGCTGGCAGAATGTCTGGTTCCAACTGGATTCCTGATAACTGGATAGTATCTAGCGACGGGAGAGCCTGGGATTCTAGAGGAGTATAGATCAGTATAGATATACCTGATTTCAGGATAAACTTAACTAAGATACTATAATCTTCCGCTATCTCTTTATATCCTATATGGTATTTAATAATCTATCACTGCAGGCTGCCTACCGGGCATGATATATATAGGTTTGTGATATCCAGCTGGACTTTCTCCAGATTAACTAGATCTATCAGTGAATACAGAAGTTTAGTATAACTTTATTCTATCTAGAGCTTCTAGAGAATCTGCTACAGCAGCTATATCTCTATATCTTTTAGAAAGATATATTTACTTATATTTAATATCTGCTGCAGCTGAAGTATATTACCTGAGCCCTAGCAGGCAAGGTATCTCTATACTGGACCAGTGTTAAGCTAATTCTTATAGTATCTGCCTAACTGTCTTTACTTCTCCAGAAAAATTATATCGCGGTTAAGAGCGTTGATATCCTGTATACCTGGCTTTAGAAATAGAAGGACAGTTATTATGATTGGTATAGATAGAAGAATAAGCTGTACTGCATGCTATACCGGTAGAGCTATAAGATTATTCAGTAGGTCCAGGGCCAGACACAGGCCTGGAAGTGGAAACAGGCGCTATATACCTTCTTTATCTAGAGCTACTGGCTACTACCCTATTCTTATAGCTAAGGCTTTATATATAAGTCTAAGGAGAGTGGACAGGAGATCTAGTGATCCAGTTATTATAATAGACTGAATTAATATTATTATCTCTATTATAAGCTGGAGTATTATCTCCCAGCCAGCTACTATTGGCACTATCCCACTGAATTATGGCAGCATGGTCATGGCCTGACCCTGTATATAGAGTATACAGTGGCCCTGGAGATGAAACTAGTTAGACTAGCTAAGAAGAAGCTATATAAGAAGCTTCTCCAGATTACTAATTACTTTAGTAAGTAACTATAGAGTAGGAGTTTAATATAATCTAGTTTAGCTCTAGTAGTATTTAATCTTTTACTATATATTAGCAATAAAAACTATCTCTCTTAGTATAAGTAGTCTTAGAGTCCAGCTTTAATTATCTCTCAAGAGCTAGTTATTGTACTGGATAAATATAATATTCTATAGTATTCCTGTTAACTCTATTATTATCTATATAGAAAGTATACTGTTTTATCTTCTCTGGATACTGCTGAAGATAAGATAATCTCTAATAAAAAATTACTTAAAAACTGAAAGAATTAACTCTAGACTTAGATCCAGAAACTTAAATCTAGATTTTATAAAGCAGTTATAGCTGACCAGTAGAAGTATTAATTATCTAAGTTATACTATTGTTATCTAAGGGAGATTAAGTTCTGGCTATAATAATTAACTATATTATATACTGCTACTAATTAGACTATCTTTCTCTATTCTAGATATACTAAAAAGGGTTTAGATTAGATCAAGATTATATATAAACTGCTTATAGGTCAAAATATATATATATATATATTATCTGTATAAATCCACAGCTGTAGATCCTTTTCTATAAAACAATAATTTATATTCTTAATAGAGTACTATTTTTAAATACTGTAATTTATTTATATTACTATAGATAAATAATATATTAACTGTATTTTATCTCTTAGTAATCTATAGGCTAATCTGTTAATCTATAGGCCATATAGTAACCCGGCCTATTTCTTGGCAGGTTAGACTGAGTTAAGCTAGGTTTTATAGACTGGGCCTAATAAGTCTAGTTATTACTAATATTTATATTTTAATTTTAGGCTGGATATTTATCTATTAAATAATTTAATCCAGGATCTATTTATCAGTTAGTATATTAAATCCAGAAGTATATTCTATCTTATATTAGTTATATACACTGTTTTATATTCTGTATTCTAAGACTAGTTAATTATATTCTGGGTTAGATTAGGGATAATAAGATTCTGTATTAAGCTATATATTTTATATTCTGTATTTCTAATTCTATTTTTTCTTTTTTATTTTTTCTCTATTGTCTGTCTTTTATATAGATATATTCTGATATTATCCATGGAGTATCTAATATTTCAGAAGCTAAACAGATTATCTATAATTATTTATAAAATATATCAGTATGGTATATAGCTAAATAAGATTATATAATATTTAAAAAGCAATATACACTGCAAGAGCTATACTAAGGCAGTCCAGATCCAGAAAAGTATTCAGCAGTAAGAGAATATTGCCCAGCATGTAGAAGCTATTAAGATTCTCTACTAGATTAATTAGCCATTATCTAAATTGTCTATTTATTCTGATGGATTATTATGCTGCTGTGATTATCTCTGATATTAATATATCGGGCGCAGCTTATATATAATGCGCAATCACTGGCAGATAGTACACTAATGGTTCCAGTATCCCCGTAAGGGTTGGATTAGCCCACAGCAAAGAATTGCCGGCGAAGCTGAATTATAAAAGTCATATAAACTAGTTATATACCAGCAGATTTTTCTAATACAGAAAGGATCCCATTATATCTATATCTATAGAGACCATAAGAAGGAACCATATATTCCTGTCTATATAGAGCAGGTTGACCAGGCAATTCAGCAGATCACTGAGATATAGAAAGCAATACAGATCCAGACAGGTTCAACAGAAGCTGAAGAGATCCATAACACTAATCCATAATTACAGGTGACTAGATAGACACAGTATTTAAAGGATATATTCTATGATCAGTTACAGGCCAGCATGGAAACTCTATACCCTAGTCCACAAGGGGTAAAAAAGAGTTCTTGTCTCGGCGAGAGACGGGCGCGGATTGGCTGAAAAAAGTTAGGGTTTATGTTCTCTTGTCCAAGATTAGTTTATCATTGTCTCGCTTGACAGGATGTTAGTCAATTGATTTTAAAATTAGACTTATAGTTAATAACTCCTTCCCGCGTAACTTGGCCAAATCAGAGACACCAACTCAATCATTTGCAATGGGAGTGGTGATAGAAAGTTGATTATAATCTGCAGGTAGAATTTGTTAGGGTATGCCCTGACTGTCATCCGGGAGCCATTTATATCCAATTAGGATTTATACTGACAGCTGATTAACACCCCGGTCTAAACAGTAAGTTAAGATAACATTGATTCATTGGCTAGTTAGCGCGTATTTCATGGTCCAATAACAGGATTAGTGGTCAGTCCTAATCCATTAGGGTTAATATAGACACCTGATCATTACCAGTCCAGCCAGCTGCAATAGTTATCCCCAGCCTGAACTGGAAGTAAATAAACAGTATATTAATGTGATATAGATTAACTAGCCTGCTGGTGATTATTTTATTGTATTAGGATAACCAGAAGACATCCCAGTAAAATTATATAGGGTAGAATTGGATATCATGAATTGACAAGTCCATTATATCCTGTGTTATTTCAGGGATAATAGTACTGCATATTAAGAAAAGGATTCCCATGCGTCCAGTTCTATTATAATTCCATTTTCATTATATTTCCCCTGACCGTGTCTATTATCTACTATGGAATCCCAGCTGTTCAAAAAGCTTGATACCATTCCTATAATTATATATCACCAGTGCATGCATGGCGTGTGGCCCCAGGAGATCACCCGTCATTTAAAGAACCGGGTGCATCAGATGGCCAATGCCGATACCGTGGCAATTCAGAATACTGTGGCCCAGTGGAAGGGAATTGCTATTAATGCTGATACAGTTAAGTTTCCCCATCAGCTGGCGCGGCAGATCCCTGAGCTATCTATCTATCCAGATGGATTGCTGTGTCAGCGGAAGTATCCCCAATACCGGTATATCACGCGCAGTATCAAGGGTATACAATAGTATTAGTACACCGCCCACAGCTGGATCCAGTATCCCCGGGGGGGTCAGATCAGCCCCCAGCAACAGGTCACGCAGGAAGCTGAATTATAATAGTCATACAAATTAGTTACCTGCCAGCAGATATTTCCATCGCGGAAAGAATCTTATTATATTTATATCTGCAGCAAGGATCACGAGCCGTATATTCCTGTCTGCACAGAGCAGGTAAACTAGACCATCCAGCAGGTCACTGCTATGTGGAAGGCGATAAAGATCCAGACTGGGACTGCTAGGACCGGAGAGATCCGCGATGCCAACTTATGATTACAGGTGACTGGATAGACCCAGTATTTGCAGAAGTTTACCACCCCCAGTAATTTCAAGATATTACATGCCATGGTGGCCACCCTGTTGCCTGACATAGATGACCCCGTGGAGCAGGACGTGCAGCGGATGTGAGCAGCCATGGAAGATATGGTACGCAAGAGCCAGTGGACTATATAGCATACCAGGCAAGCCATCCGGATTAAAGTGGTGCGGTCTGAGAAGGGCCAGACCCTATATTATCTATTACTAGTATATATAGATGCGGACAGCGTGGCTAAGCATATCTAGCCATAGCAGCAAATATTAGTGTTCATTACTTGCATCCAGATGCCGTGCATGGAGAAGAGTCCACTGTATGGTATAACACTGTGACAGCGGAAGAAATGGCAGCAGCTATAGTAGATAGCTACTGCAGGTTCCCCCACTGAGAGAAAGGAGTGGGAGAGAGATTCCAGAGAGAGCAATCCTGAGTGCAAGTAATGGATAATAAGTGATATAGAGCAGGCATATTTAGAGTTTTGTATCAAGCTAATAAACTAGATATATTATATCCAGAAATATAAGAGTATGCTAGTATGTGCCATGACTGTACTGGGCTAGGAAGAATTCAGCTAGCAGGATCCCGAGAGCTATCTGCTAATTTTGTCCCGGGTAATCAAGATTGCCTGGTTCATGATTATTCAGAAGATATTGTGGCTGGATCTTGATATACTGGCAATTATCAAGATATGGCAGAAGCTACAGAATTATACTGAATAGATATTATACAGTGCCGTGGCCGTGGACAATATCAAGGCCAATTCCATGTACAGTAGCAGGATAAAGAATAAATATAAATCTCTATTGTCCCCACTAATATTATCCATGCGGCATGGGAATCCCGTGTCCCGGATCCAGTGAAGCCAGAATCCATCCCGCAAGACATTCCAGGAGCAGATAATATAGATAGTCAGCCAGTTAATAATCCGCGGCATACACACGCTGATAGAGATATTACAGAATTGGCAGATATACAGGTTGCGCATCCATTATAACACCACGACCCCTGGACATGTAATATAGATACAACCGGACCGATTATTATATAAACATATTCAGTTTACCATAAGCAATTTCCGGGGATTTATATATAGATTAACCAGGGTCACCTGGCAGATATTGTGCCAGGAATTGATATTTAGCAAGATCCCTGCTATCCTGTGGCATGTATTGTACAACAATCCTATATAGAGTGCTGTGAAATAGAGCTTTTTACAGGATTAATATATCCAATAGCCAGTGAAGGGCCTACAGTGGATCATAGAGTGGATCTGGGCTAAGCCCGACATACAGGTACATTTCATCTACTGCTGCCAGTCCACACAGTTCCAGCTGCGGTTAGTTATACAGTATTTGCAGTAGATAGCCTAATTCAGGAAGAAATTGGCCGTGCTCATACATATCATGGACAGGCAGCCCAGCCAGGCCCTGGAGTTATTAAGCTTGCAGTATATTAATACAGAGACTAATCAGCGGCACAATATATTTATTAAGGATGGTATAGTTACATTAGTATTAGTATATTATAAGAGATTTTATGCCAGTAATAATATTAAGATTATCAGTCAATATATGCTGCGGGAAGTCAGCAAGCTGATTATATAGTATTTATGGTTGGTATTGCTATTTATCCAGCAATTGGAGGCATGGCACTGTTATCTGACATTATCCATGCTCCTATCCACACTGTCATCCATCCCCCTATTGGCATTGACAATCAAACTTCCAGTATCAATATCAGCACCTCTATCAGTAGTAATATCCAAATTCCCAGTATTAATATCAGTAATCCCAGTATTAATATCAGTTCTTCTGCCAGTATTAATATCTGAAGTCCCAGCATCGACATCCGCGTTCGTTTAGGGCCCTGATCCTGGTATACACTGGGCATGGATGTCTGAACAGTTCCGCGAGATATTGAAGCATGAGACCAAGATACAGTTACAGTATACAGTCAATATCCAGGTATATCGCGAGATTGCTATTAGGATTAGCCAGCAGTGAATACAGCCTAGCAGTGCGTTTCCCAGCAACATATAAAAGAAAAAGGCCCCCAAGATTCCGCCCGAGTGCAATATAGATAAGGACCAGTGGATAGAGATTATTATAGATAAGCAGGCCATATATTCTTCTCACACAGTAAGATTAATATATGCGCAGGATATCATGGAGTATCCTAAGACTACTACCCAGTGCCGGGCCATATTTTAGTTATCCAGCATAGATTAGCATTAATTTTTGGGGTTTGCCGCGGACAGAGCCTCTATTAAGGCAGCCAGCAAACAGAAGCGGTTCTTGTGAGAGGACAAGGCTGATCAGGGCCGGGTTATACAGCAGCACTGGTTAAACACTATAGACATGACAGCTGTATTGCAGTAGATGACAGAGCAGAAGACTATCCAGTTCTAGAGGATACAGGCCCTGGTATTGCGGGCCATCCAGGACAGTAAGAGCCTGGTAGTGGCGGTGATGCCTACCAGGGACAGCAAGAGTATATTATTCATGTTGCCTGTATTCACGGAGCCCAGCAGGATAACAATCATGGTAGTGCCATTACTCGCATTACGCAGCGATATAGCAAGATAATGCCAGGTATTGGGTATATTATATATTATATGGAAGAGCTGTTAACCTCCTGATAAAGCTATAATTATGTTAGTTATGCCTAAGTCCGCGGTTACAGACAATTTCCACATATTTATTAACTGATTACAGCAGACCCGGTGGTTGGACTGGATCATGATCAATGAATGCCATATGGTATTAAATAACCAGTGAGATTTCTGGCCTGAATTATGGCAGTTAGAGTAATTAAACTATATCTATATATAGATAATATTGTTAACTACTATATTACTCCCTATATTAGAGACTATATTGTTACAGCGGATAGAGTATATCTATAACCAGGTTAGCATATTCCGGGCCTGCATGAGTTATCCTAATATAGTATACCAGGTATAATAGCCATCTAGGATCCGCGGCAGTCCCGAGTGGCTTATAGCTAAGACTATAATTGTATTTATTCAGCAGTAGATTATATAGGTATCCCAAAATAAAATAATTATTTATATTAATATAGTCTGCTAGATAGTCAAGATTACCCAAGTGTTACAGTATAAGATATATTATAGCCAGCAGATTAACAAGCTATTAATATTATAATAATTTATATAAAATACTATCCAGATAATTGCTACTACCAGTGCATTAGGTATGGATATTGATATTCTGGATATCTAGTATATTATCTATATTAGGAGCTCCCAGTTATTATTAGATTACATGCAGGAAAGTAGACATGCTGGCCAGGATAGCTATACTAGCAAGGCAATCATTATCTAGCTAGAGAATCTGTACTGGGAATTTAATAAAAATCCTCAGGATACTAAGTTAGTGACAGAATATATAGATATTATACCCGGGATAGAGTGTTATTAATATATATTGGACCAGTATTTAGATAGCCCTGTAGAGAGATATGAATAATACCAGTGCCAGGACAAGAATCCCGTAGAGTTACTATATAATAAATATTATTCTAATTATCCTGATTGGGATCTGCCTATTCCAAGCAGTCTGATTTCCATAGATTCACGGTCTCTATCTATTAAGATAGATACAGGGCCCCCTGTTGGCCCAGCCTGTCCGGTAGATCATGGTCCGGTATATTCCATGCATCCGGCCTGTAAGACCCGCGAGGCCAGTCCCGCTAGTAATACCAGTTATATATTATTTATATCCCAGGTCTCACACATTGTGGTGGCCGAACAGTAATGGCAGCAGATCTAGATATAGTAGTAGATAGCAGCGGATATCCAACAGCACATACAGGATACTGTATAGTAATTGAATAAGAAGTGAATTAAAGCTAATATCTTCCAGTAGTGACAGTAATATTATATATATATTATAGCCAGCTGGAAATAGCAGGAGCATGAGTTAATATTTTATTAGGAATCCCAGAGTACTATTACTAAAGAATAGATATAGAATATCTATAAGATTAGAATCTAGTTTACTGAGTTTAGCACATGTTTTTGGTATTATATATTTCAGTCTATATACCAGAGATAGTAGAGCAGCAGGAGAGATTATATATACCAGGATATATTATTATCTATAGTAGCTATAATGTTGTATAGACTATAGACTAAGTAGATATAATCATTATAGTAACAGTAATTAGCCAGCTATAGAGCTAACAGTAAGAATATTCAGCAGATAGCACAGTTTTTTAGATAGGCCACTAAGAGAGTACAGAGCCAGTATAACTAGTTATTCACATTATATTATTAGTTATACCAGATATATATAGAGTTAGAGCAGCGCAAGAAATAGCTATTATTATTATAGAGACAGTAATTTTAGTAGTTATAGAAGAATAAATAGTTAAATTAAATCTAGTTATTAAATTAGTCTATTAATAGTTATATAGAACCAGATTTATTAGAGTAAATTTATAGATATATTAGGTAAAATTTATTTATTTATTTAAGATTAGTTAAATAAGATATCAGTTTATTTTAGTTTATTAAATCTACTAAGCATAATTGATATCTTAGATTATAAATATCCAGCAGCAGGCCCAGAACAGGAATTAATTAATAAATAAGATATTTATTAAGCTTAAGAAATTATAGTATTAGCAGTTT